GCTCCCGCCGGCCTCCTCACTGTGTATTGGGAAACCGGGGTCATTCAGGGGATGCCGACCTCCCACCACTGCTCAGTGCAGGGCAGTGCTGTGTTTCTGAGCTCGAGACATACATCTGGCTCCCACACGTGGGCCTCCAGGCAGGTCTGGCACTGCCCCTACAGTCCCGGCAACTATGCCATAGTGGCCTTGGGCTTCCTCTGTGACCCCAGGGGAGAGTGAGGGCTCTCCTAGCCTTCCAGTCTCCCCTCTGTGCAGCCCCAGGCTGAATGTTACCCTTCATTTCTTCAAACCTCTGCTCATGAAGGGGAGGAAAGAATTACTAGTGGTCATAATTTTGTAAATTAAAAAAACTAAAGACTTGAACATATTCCATATTAGCTGATACAATAATTCCATGCCGAGTGCCAAAAGTTTCAGATAATTGTGTCTACACCATATTAGGGCTGGTAAGAATTAGTTCAGAATACTAACATGATTTTAGCTCTCAATTGTTCTTCTTGGATTGACTAGGGTGATAGAATTTCTTGGAGATGGTCAAATATACAGAAGGGAGTTTATACACACAAGACAAAAATTCTAAGTGTCTCCAAAGTTTCACACGTGGTTTCTGACATCCCTGCTTTTCTGTAGTGCCAATTCCTCTGGCTTGCTCCATTAGCAAGGAAACAGAGAATTTCTAACCAGTCAAGTTCCACGGTGTAGCAATCAAGGCCTCAGTACCTGGCCTCTCTTTCCTCTTGACCAAAAGATTCAGTCCTCCTGGACTTCCAGAGTTCCATGGAATCTGAGCCTGGTGTGGACAAGCATCGGTGGGGAGACATGGAGAGAGCTGAGCAGGAGAAATGCAGGGTGGTTGGTGGGACCCTGGCCTCTGCTCCTTCACAAGGTGCTGTTTCCCAGGCCACTTGAATCCGTGACTGAGCAGAAACATTTTCTGAGAAATAATCATCACTACTGTCCTCTTTCCTGGACCAACTTTGGCAGACACTAGCCGGAAACAAGTCTTTGCTACTCTTTACCGGAATGGTATCCTTGCTACTTTTTTCTGGAACTTGCATGTTGTTGATGCCTTGCTGCCTCTTGGTGATAAAGAGCAAGTCTAGCTCTGCGGGCTGCACGTACCCATCAGTCTACCCACTGTGTGCCTCCTGTGTGCTCTGGCCATGGGGACACAGCTCCAGAGCTAGAATACTCCCTGGCTTCTGAAGAAGAGTCCTATCAAATTCTGATGGCCCTTTCTTGATTCAAAATTCCGTGATTTCTTTTTAAGTTCAGCCCAGATCTGCCATAAGTTTAAATACATCTAAAAGGAAAATTCAATTCCAAGAAAAAGTCAAGGATATGAGATGACCAAAGTCTACAAAAATAATTAAGTATAAATATGGACTTCACACAGCAAATCTCAAACTATTAAAATTTAAGTTTCCCCTTGAAAATGTATAAAAGTTCTAGAAAAATTAAAAGTGCTCTCAAACGATGCTGGTAGTAAAGTCTTAGAACTCATTGTTGCCAAGTGTTGGCATAGTTCTACAACATGGTTAGGGCTGAGAAAGAAACTCCGATCAGCTAGTGGATGAGTTACATATGGATGTATGGGCTCCTGGCATGTGAGGTGATCAGCAGGAAGAACAACCCTCCTGGCCCGGCTCTGCTCCTCACTGTGACACAGTGATCAGCTGTCACTTCTGCTCTCCTAGCCACATCTGTCTCACCTGCAAAATACAGGACTGGGCTGGACCAGCTCCAAGTCCCTTGTTCTCCATCATTCTGAGAAACCGTCCTTTGGAGCTGCTGGGGGAAACAGGATACAGCACTAACCACCCGTGGGGTCGAATGTCACAGGGTAATTCTGATGTGAAACGAAAAGTCTGGTAAATCATTTCATAACAACTGTGTTTGTTTTCTGCATTTGGGTTCCTCAAAGCTCTCTAAAGTTCACAAAGAGTCAGAGGGGCCTAGGTTGATCAGGAAGGTGTCCTGGAGATGAATCTCTCTGGGTCTCATAGGGTGAGCCACTTGATGGAGACCAGAACCAGCAACTGTATGCCCCTGTCAGTGAGGACACCAGCTGGAGCCAGTGGGCAGCCCCTCTCCCAGGCACTGCCAGCAAAGCAGCACCCCACACAGTGTGATGTCAGGGGTTGGGGTGGACTCTGCTCCCTCCACCAGCTTGCCTGAAAACCTGACAACCTGTGCGTGTCCAGCTATGAGATAATGTCTCATTTTTATTTAAGCAAATCAAAATCAATGTTTGTGTCAGCATGTGCTGAATTGAATTTATTAGAGGACAAGTTGGGCTCTATGAGATCGAGGATTTCACTCTACTCCCCTTGGCTGCAGAGTCCTGGGTGGGCTCTCAGTGCCACTGGGACTCAGAAGGCAGAACAAGTTCAGGCAAAGGTGGCAGTGCCAGCAGCACAAGATTCTGAAGGCAGAATAATCCAGAAATCTTCTTAAACTATCTGAACATCAGCTTCCTCATCAGAAAAGCAGAAATCACAATATAATGACATATGATGATATGTGTAAAATACCTGATACACAGAAAGTAATTAGTACTATTGCTATGTCCTGAGAGCTATTTGCATCTTCACAGAAGTCTGCTGCAGACAGATCCTTGGCCTCATGAACTGAATATTGTTTGCCCCCAGGGCTCATCTGCTGAAATACTTGTGCCCGCTGTGAAGGTATTAGAAGGTGGGGTCTCAGGAAGGTTTGAGAGCATGAGAGTGGACTTCCCCCAATGGAATAGTTCCCTTCTAAGGAAAGATGTGAGTTTCTCTTTGCTCTCTCTTCTCCCTGCCACATGAGGACACAGCAAGAGGACAGCCTTCTTAAGGCCAGGAACTGTGCTGGCCCCAATCAGCTGGGACTTGGCCATCCCAGATCCAAGAATGATGCAAAATAAAGGTATGGTGTGTAAGCCACAGGTCCCCAACATCAGGCCATGGACCAGTAGACCTGGGGCCATTAGGAGCTAGTGAAGCACCATTTGAATTTCTAGCCTGAGTTCTGCTTCCAGTCAGGTGAGTGGTAGTGTCAGATTCTCCTGAGAGGGGAGCCCTACTGTGAACTGCATGTGTGAGGCTCTCAGCTGTGTGCTCTTTATGTAAATCTAATGCCTGGTGATGAGCTGAGGCAGTGATGCTAGCTCTGGGAAACAGCTGCAATGCAGATTCACATTAGCAGAGACATCTGACTGCACTGAGACCATCATAAATCAACAGCTTGCAGATGCCTATCAAACCCTATCAGTGAGTGGCAAGTGACAATTAAGCTGCATCTGGTGGCAGGCTTTACAGTGGCAAGTGAATGGATGGACTTCAGTTTTACGGCTGCCTCTGGTGGCAGGCTCTAAGTCAGAGTCCAGCACTTATTTTAGTCTATGCATGGCCTGCCCATTATTTTATTTACCTAACTCTGCATCATGGTGAGTTGTATAATTATTTCATTACATTTCTATTATTATTACAATGTAATGTTACTTTGTAAATAATGTTACATTATGCAATAATAAATATTTCTGTATATCATTCTATATAATATTACTATATAGAAGTAAAGTACACAATAACTGTAATGAGCTTGAATCATCCCAAAACCATTCCCCTTTCTGCCTCCCCATGGAAAAATTGTCTTCCATGTAACCAGTTTCCAAAAAGGTTGGCGATCACTGGTGTGAAGCCTCCAGTTTATGGTGATTTGTGACAATAATCTGAGCTAAGATACCGGGCAGGAAAAAGTGAGCTTGCAATGGCCACATCCAAGACAGCCAATGACAGAGATGTACAGTTCAGCAACTGCAGATTCAGTGGAGTGGGAACTGCCTAACGGATTAAAATATCATCACACTTTTTCACCAAAAACGTGATTTCTTTGGCATCATAATCCCTTAAAATTTAGTAGACTTCCATCAGTTTGTGATCCATGTGTTCCATCAGTTCCATGGCTTGCTAAACACAGGCCAAGTGTGGCCTGGGGATGCCTTTGACACTCCTGATCAGCAGCCTCGGTTATAGATTTCTGCCCTGGGCAGTCAGGTAGCGCTGTCCAGCGGGGAGCCTGCTTTGGTGCAGTCTGTCTGGTGCATCTGGGGAGATGCCTGGCTCCTCAGGCTATGAGATAAGATTCCTGTTATCTCACATTTCCAAAGGGCATAAGCTTGTCTCTTCCTTATAGAACTTTACTGAAGGCCTCAAGAGAATAACTGACAAGTCCTCCACATCCTGAGTTTTTCAGCATTTCCCCTCCCTCGAGGTTCTCAATGGGCATCACTGGAAACAGCTGGCTCGGTTAATTCACAGCTGTGGATCACTGTTATCTGCTCCCCAGCCGGGAGAGCAGGCTCTTCAGTTCCAGCTGCCATGTCCCCTGCACTTGTGTCTCATTTCAGGGCAGGGCACTTGCAGATGCCCCCTCTCACATGACACATGCTGGCACACTTTCTCTGGCTTTGCTATCAGCACACGAAGGCCAGCCCGGAGCAGGCCCAGGAGGCACCAGCTTGCCTGCCTACCATCCCTTGGCTTCACCCTCCTCCTATGCTGGTTTCCTCCACAAGCTGGTAGGAAACAGCTGTCATGTTTCCTGGTGTCACAGATGTGATAACATCTTTCTTACATTTTTCTTTGGAATCATGAATTTCCCAAAAGCCCCTAGCAGGCTCCTTAGGGAAAACTGGACCGTGTGTTCCTCCCAACCAGTTTACTGGCGAAGGCAGGAGGTTTTCAGAGTGCTGTCTGGGGAGTCCTGAAGTCTCAGTCCCCTTTGAAAAGGGGTTGGTGAGGCCAAAACTACTTTTAGTTTTTGCCACATTAGTCTTTGTCCTTCCTCACTTTCTCCTGGTGGAGTCTGACAGAGACGCTGTGATGGGTGAGACCTGACATGCTGGGTGCAGACAGATATGAGAATCCAGCTATCTTCTATTAAGCAGGCATCAAAGAAATGTGTAAAAATGTAAAACAACCCTACTGTATCATAACAATTTTTTAATTTTGGAAAATACAGCTATTTGTATAAAATATGTGAATAAGTTAATATACAATGGGCCTATTATTATCTTTAAATTAATGAATAGTTTTTAAAGTTCTCAGTTTTAGAGTCAAGTTCAGAAGGCATGCTGTAACCCACATAAACAAAAGCTCTTTGGGTTTCTTAATAAAGTCTGAACTGTAAAGCAGTCCTCAGACCACACAACTGGAGAACCCCTGGCACTGGGGTCAGCACCCTCTACAGCTGGAAGTCTTCAGAGAAGAGGTCGGTCTGGTAGATCCAGGATCTGTCAGAAAGAAGTGAAGAGGGACTGTGAGTGCTTTTAACTAAACTGAGAAGCAAGTTGCCCAGGTCACACACAAGTTCTGATATCAGCAGTCAGAGCTTAAAATCTACTTTTCCGACTGCTGGTCCAAATGAGTTGGATTTGTGATTGCTTCCACTCTGCTCTTTCCCAGAAAGCTGAAGGGCAGTGCTGGTGACGCAGGAATGAGTCGAGCACGCCTGTAATGCTGGTGTAAGTGTAAATGTTGCAAGGCTTCCAGAAAGCAGCTTGGCAGTATGTGTGAGAAGCTTTAAACATGCTCGTACTCTTTAACCCAGGAATTCCACTTCTAGGAATCGACACAAAGGAAATAATCAGAAATGTGAACAGAATCTATGTGTAAGGACATTTATCAAAACATTATCTTTAACAATAAAAAACTGGAAACAACCTGGATGTCCAATAATATGAGAATAGTTAACTAAATTCTGAAGCTGCCAGCTTTCTTCTGAGGTGGGAACATGGGGACTATTCATTAAATAAGCAAAAATGTTTTACCACAAGCATGCATTTGTTTGGTGATCAGAAAAGTGATAATTTGACTTTGAAGAGATTAATAGCATGGGGAAATGCAATGTGCTATTGAATGAAAAAGCACAACAGAAGGGTGGGGACACAAATCGGAGCTGTGCACACAAAGTGCTGGATTTCATTCCTAGAAGGAAAGAAAAAAGCATGGCAAAATACACTATCACTTCTGTACGTGTGGGAAACTTTCAGGAAGGAAATACTACAAAGTGTTAACATCTGAAATGCTCTTTGGATATGAGGTTACTGGTGATTTTGCTGTTATTCTTCCCTGAATTTTATAAGGTTTGAAATGAACATTTTATGCCTCAAGATTGTTATGCAGAGAGATGTGTGCAGAAAGAGAGAAGACTACCAAGCATCACTGCTTACCAGCTAAGGGAAGGAAGGAGCAGCCCACAGCCAGCCTGTGGCAGATGCTTCTCTGCCTTGCTGGTGGGACAGCTGTGCATGGGCCAGCAAGGTGCTGCTCAACTCCATGCACAGCACTTACTCAGGCTCTCCGCAGCCAGGCGTGGCCATGTAGCATACTTCTGGGCAGTAAGACACAGCGCAATTTTACCCAGAATCTCGGAAGCACACCCTGCCCCCATCCTGAGTTGAAAATGAATACAGATATCCCTCGGTCAATAATCGAGTTCCATTTCTGCGACTAGGTTGTTAAATGAGGAATTGTGTATGATGTGTACAGTACAATATTCAGAACAAAGAAATGGTCCGAGGAAACTCCGTGTTGATGACTTTGCTTTTATTTGAATAACTCTTATGCGCAGTACTGTGATGTACAACAGACCTAAAAGTACTGTACAATCAGCTGAAATCACAGTACTGCATAAACAAGGTGTGCTGTACAAAACAAGAGAGGCTCTGTAAATAAGATATACAGAACTGTACAAAAAAAAAGCAGATCACATGACTGAGCAGTGGGTCATAAGTCGAAACCATTGCTGAATAGGGGATATCTGCATAATGTCCATTGTGACAGCAGCTATCTTTCAACCACAGGGCAGAAGCCAAAGAGACAGAGCACATTACGCCCAGCATCAGTGAGATACAGAATTGTTGCTGGCGAGCACCTACCTGGGGACTTCCTGTTCAGGGAGGAAAACAACGCCATGTGCGAGGGGCTCAAATTGGGACGGACCGAACCACCATGGCTTCTGCTCTTCACCTCCAGCAGGACTGTGGCAAGGACCAGGTGAACTCATTTTATCAACTGTAAAATACTGCCCACCCCCGATAATGACAAGAGTTCAAAATGAATACAAAACATTGAAAGAATTCTCAAGACAGTGGGAAGGCATCTTGTCCATTAAACATCTGAGTGGTGGAGCAGACAGTTCTGCTTTGCAGCTGACAGGCAGAGTGAAATCGAAACACAGTGGTACCTTGGTCCTTGAATCAAATCATATTTCCCCGTAAGGCCAACACTGACCCTAACCATCAAATTGGATTCAGTTTGTGGCAAGAATCGTGGAAAGAATTAAGTTCGTGAACCAAAGTGCCACAGTACCTTGTCATCCACAGGCTGTGGACAAGACACTTCTCTCTGGGCCTCAGTTACCCCATCAGAGAATAGGATGAAGGCCCCCCACCCCTCAGATCCCCACTTTTGTTCTGCACCCATCATGAGTGAGCATGCATCCTAGATCTCCCATACTCCGTCCCAGATCCCAGGAAGTATGTTCATAAAGCACATGCACTGTGTCTTAATTCTGAGTTTGAAACTTTGTCACCAGGCCCACAGAATATCCTGATGCAAGACACTACCATGTGCATAACTAAAATATCAAATGTGCCTATGGGTTTGTCCATAAGTGCTCTTATCAAAAAACCAACAAAAACCTCTTCACACCTGTTGATTTTCTTTAGCATTCTAAGATAAGCTGACAAGAGAGAAAGGAAGAAAGAGAGAGGGGGAGAGAGGGAGGGAGGGAGCCTAAACACCAACAAGAACCTCTAGGAAATGACCTCCAAAGCCCCCTGAAAGTCTGGCTTGAAGACTTTGGGCTTCTGGTTCCACCAGAGGACACTATGCTCTGGACCCCGGGCTGCCCTGACCTTGACCTTTTTCAAAACCTGCCTGAGGCCCTCACTCTAGAGCCTCTAACATTGGGATGGTTCTGCAGCCACCTTCGGGGGTGCCTGCCCCCAGTCGCTGGGGTCTCTGTGGGAACAATGTCATCCTGTAGCCCACCCTGCCATCTTCAAATCATGGACAACAGAATAATCTGCACAGATTAATTCTCTCTTCCTTCCTGTTCTCACATTATGCCAAATGACTGAAGAAATTTTTGTTTGGTTTTGTTTTAGCCAAATGCAGAGAAGTGTTTGGGGATGGCCTGGCCGGAACTAAATGTATGCAGGGGCTTTTTATGTGGCCTTGAATTGTGCCCAACGCCCTCAGACTACAAACAAGAGGCTCCAACGAGCACTTACAAGGCAATGAGCCAGGGCCAAAGGCATCGCCTCACTACCAGCTTCACATCAACCACCAAGGCGCCAACCTCCAGCCATCACAGCCCCTTTGCCGCCTTTCCTGGAAAAATTCAGGAAGGCACAGTGGGGTGAGGAGGACTTAGAGCTCCTGAGGCTCCAGAGAAGTGGCTTGTGGCGGTGAGGGGCAGGAAATGGGCACTCTGGGGAAAGCCCTTAGCCTCCCGGGTCAGTTATGCCTTCCTTTGAGAAGACCTTTCTGAAGACCATGGAGATTGGCCCTACCAAGAGCCAGAGTGCTGAGCCAGGAGCTGAACTGCTCGGCCATGCCCATGTGGCTCTGGGAAGGGCACTGGGCACCCTGGACGAAGCCTGGGGCAGAGTTCAGTAGCCCTACCAGGAAGACACCACGCTGGGCTGCCATGTATCCCTCAGGGAGGAGCTCACCTCTGCTTGCTCTCCCAGCACAGCGGGGGGTGGGGGGGCTGGCGACAGGAGCTGGGCATGCTGGGAGTCTGTCTTGTGTTCAGGAGTCACACTGTCTTCCAAAATATGCCGAGAAGCCCACATCTCCCTGACGGATGGACATACTCACCAGCTGCTCAGTCCTCAGGGGCCTTCAGGGCATCGCTCATGGCCTTGAGCACGTTTTCTGGAACTTTCTCAAAGAAGTTCACCCATAACTGGCATCTCTCTCCATCCAGTTCAACCCATCTCTGTTCCTCCTCTGACTGTGGAAGAGAGGGTGTGGAGAATAACGCAGAGTCCTCCTGCATCACAGAAAGAACTTTATCTCCCATGACTGTGCCGAGGAAAGCCAAGATCAAGTTGCCAGCGGTAGTTTCCCTGACTGCTCCACGCTTTGTTTTCGCCCATGGCCAGATGCTGGGTCCCATGGCCCTGCTACAGTGCCACATCCAGACCCCTGCATGCAGACCATGCTGTGAACCCTGCTCTGTGTGCACCAGCTGTGCTTGCCCTCGAGCAGCTAGCCTCCTCTCTGAGCCTGGTTACCAGCAGGACCAGCAGAACTAGGGTATGGTGGAGGGAGGAACTCTGGGAAATAAATGCTAACTGCCTGGCTTCCCATAGCTTTTACCCAAACCCAACTGCCTAACCTAACTCAGCAAACCCAATATAT